CATCTTAGTGCTGTGTTTGTGCAAGTTGAGTCAAGTTAGTGATTGGTCAATGATCTCAAAGAAGCAGTGCCGATGTCAATCATCAGGGAGATCATGAACTGGCATCCTCAACTCTATCAGAGAACAAGATTCAACCCGATACATACAGTGAAATACAACACGTGCATGCAGACAATTAATTGATATCGATAGCGTTTCATTTATATCAAATAGATCTTGTCCGACCTATCTAGATAAATCATTCGCTAGATTAATTGAATTTATGTTAATTTGACTATTTGTCATACAAAACGTGATCGTCGAGTTCCTTGTAACGCGGCATTACAACTGAATGCAGGTCTACCACTACAGCAAAACAATTTACTGTAGTATATAGAAATGGTTTGGAGCAGAACGGTTTGTCGCTGTTCATCTCGCTTCTAGCCGTAAACAATTCCACTCAATCTAATTGTTTCTCTCCGTCCAGAAGTGGGTATATCTGTAGAGTTGCTTGCTTACACCAACTTACACATGAATAAATTGCCTAACTGAATGAAAAAGAAAGACAGTCGGCCAATTCCGATTTCGGAGGGGATTCTCCGAAGTGACGACAACTGCTCTGCAATATCGTAAAATACCAATATTCATTTCAGTCATGGAGGTTAAACACATAGTCTACAAATAGTACAATTTTAATTTGATAAAACTTAACAAAATGTATCAAAACGAAGCGTTTACTTTAATTGGTTTACTTTTTGTACGGAATATTATTATTACATCGTTGGTTTGTTTTTTTGTTTTTTTTTTCTTCTTTTTTGAATACTGTACAATAATACTGTAAAACATTTTGGAAATTGAATGTGGTTGAAATAGAAACATAAAATAATGTATGCAGCAATTGTTTGTGTGCGGAAACATACATTATGCTTGCCTACAGACAAGGACATGCCCCTGCCTTTGGTGGTGTAAGGTATCCATTCACTTGAAGTCTCATGTAATTGGTATTGAATCCTCTTAGCATTTGGCATTCTCCTACCTGCCGCTGGGTGTCTTCTCACACCTCGGGCAGCAGTATCATCAATGTTCATCACGTCATGTAAAGACGCGGCAATAAGAGCATTATAAAGGCGAATGTCAGTTCTTGTTAATATCATCATCGTTGTTTTAAGTGTTTATAATAGCAAATGTAATATGTGAAAGTATGTGGCACAGTGGCAAAGCAATTGTTTTTCAATTGAAGGTCATATTATGTTCGAGCCGTTCCTGGTCACCCTGGGCCTGATATATTGTAAAGGACGTAATCCAGGTTCAGTAGTCAATGGCTGCAGTCCTACACTCAGCACATAACGACATTCGTCTCCATTATGCTATATGAAAACCAAAAAAAAAAAAAAAACAACACAAGAATAAATGAATTGGAAAATAAAGCGGTAGAAAAACCTCAGAAATGGAGAAAAGCGAAAATAAAATATACAGAAGTGAAGAAAATAGTCAAATAAATGATTCAAGGCGGCGCTTAAAACTTCCAAAGTAGAAAACTCTTAGAACAGATTATGGCAGTTAACAACTTTTATGTAATTTAGTTTATTCTCCCAATTAAAACATATCTGGGGCCCCTTGAATCCACCTATGGTTGTTAATTCCAAAGTCTGAGGTCAACAACAGAAAGACTGTCGAAAGAATTCGAAATAAATGTGAGCTCAGAAATGCAATTTTATAGATTGAAGGGGACCACCTTCATACCTCCACAATGGTTGGAGCTGAAGTACAAACTGTTGACTGGCATTCTAGAAGTTGGAAATGGCATGTCAGAAATGTTATTGTAATTTTCTCCCAGTTAAAAAATATCTGGGGCCCCTTGAATCCGCCTATTTTTTTCGTCTGTCTCAATTCAAGAGTATACACGGATAGTGCATACTGGTAGCTGGGGTACATGGTATTGAATGAATGCGTTGAGTTAGGCTTATCTGCAAGACTAAACTTGGAAATGTACATTGTGCATATTGCTGTATTCAATTAAAGAGAAAACACTTAGAGCGATTTTTTTTTTAAATCAACAAGAACGTTGGGTAATATGCATCGCATAATGCACACACAATTAAAGAAGAAGCTAGATTTTTAAAATGTAAACAGAGAAGAATGGGTTTATACCAACTGAGGATACTTTCGTTTGAATTTCATTTAAAAAAATGTTTATTCACATTCAATTTTAATAATTCTTTTAAATGACCTTTATTGTAACATGATGATGAAAATGATAATGACGACGACGGCGATGATGATCACGATTGTGATGGTGGTGATGATGATGCTGTCTGATGATGATGATGATGACAGTAGTAATATATAACATTCATATGTTGCACTTATAATATAACAACTTATGCAGAAACTTTCAATTCACATCATATCACATATTCTGGATGATGAGAGACACGTGTAGCTAAAATGACACAAGCGGTGCTAGACAAGATGGAATTTGGATCCCGAGACATCATGCTGTGCCAATTATCACTTTTCTCTTTTTTTAGTCTCATTCTCTTATCTTCTTCTAAACGTCTTGCACTGGTGTCATAATATTAATGTTATGTAAAGTAGTTGAGTTTAAATTAGGTCAACACAACCAGTGACATATCTAAGCATCTTCAAATGGGGGCAGGGACCTGATGGGGGTGAAGTGTGGGAATGATGATTAAGTGAGGGGGAACTAGCTTGCAAAACAAAATGGTATGAGGTGATTTTTATCTACTTGAGTGTATTTTTTTTTTTTTTTTTGCTTTGGTCATTTCGAGTGGGTAAATCTAGGAGAGTGTGCACCCCCAGATATGCCACTGAACATAACACTGCAGACAGGGAACATTTATTTCAGATAGAAATTTCATTTATTCATTACATACTGTACACATTATGAAGTAAAATGAAATTTACATGTGTGCTAAAACTCAGTTGAATAGTATAAAATATTATGTTTCTGTTATCAATTAAAAAAATTAATAATATTTAAACAAATTAACAATTTATATGAAAATTATACAATATATAGGACGTATTATTATTGTATTATAGCAGCCTATGGGCCTTTTAAAATCCAGACATGATATCCCCTCCTCCCAACAAACATCCAATGTGAGAATAAAATAAAATACCAATAAAATACCAAAAAAATATATATATGTAATAATGTATAATAAATGAAATAATATATCCTGTTATTGTACTTGCATGGTGACTTCAATCATTCTAACATAGTGCATTCGCCTTGTTAGGATTTTTTATTTCCATAGCAACACAATTTTCGAATTTTTATTTTTATTTTCAGTATCATTATTTGTGGTGTTGTGTCATTTTCATTTCGGTGTATGAAATTTACTTCTTTAATGAGTTTCTTCATCTTGTTCAGCCACCTCTTTGCTGTTGAAAACTACTTGATTGTAAACTGATGATTCTAAGTTTTCAACTCCACCATTCATTGTAGCTACTGATTTGTCAAAGAATTTTTGACTGACAATAAATCTTACACATTGGAGAATCACATTCCGTTCATGTCGAATGTCAGGAGCTAGTAACTATGGAAACATAACAAAAATAAATAAGCATATGTTTTATTAATTCATCAAGGAAAAAACATATTGATTTTTGCAATTAATTATCATTGTCATAAAGGTTACTTGAATTTAAAAATCAATACTCTATTTAAGTTACATTATTTCTAATAACATATTAAAGTTTTACTAATAAAATGTAATACAAGACTTGATTATTACAAAAATAACAATATTTAGATATGAATTGTTACAATTTCCTTCACTAGTACAGTATATCTAAATAATCAGTAAATATTATTTGTAACTTTTTTTCAAACAATGTAAGGAAAAATAGAAATAGAAATAAAAATAGAAAAAAAAATTATTGAATAAAAAAAAATGTGTATCCTGATTTCTATACTGGATAATGATACAAAGGAAGTGTTTCTATCATTTTTTTTTTTTTTTGTAGGATTATGGGTAAACATGTTAAAATATGCACATTTTTATGTTCAAGTTAACTTCAAAAATAATTTTTCTTCTTGGTATTTTGCATGGCACAATACATTTTTAACAATGCCATTACACTTTCCAACATTCCAAGCTCCCTCAGTGTATAATTAACAGCGTCAAAAAATCCACGTTTTTTGATAAATCATTGTATATAATACAAGTGCTATCATTCTGTAGTAAAGTGCAGCATATAATTTGCTCCCTAGTGATCAGTGCTTTGATTGTTATTATTCCTCTCAACACGCTGGATACAGAAAGCATCGTACAAAACCTGCGACAATAGAGTCTCGATCTTGTTAAAATATGCTTATTCAGCTCCGACCATTGCATTCAACAGCATGACTTTCCTAATCGACCAGGTAAACAAGCTGAATACTCTTGGGTTAACTGAGACTACATAGCTCAATCATCTAAAGTGGCAAGACCCAAGGAGAATATCATGTGCCCAGTGTAATTTGCACTGCTAAAGCTATATCCACACTATCAAATTTATGTGACAAATAAATGTGATATGCCCATATTTGGGTGTAATGTGACATTATTATGCCCAAATATAGGCACATCACATTTATCACATACATTTTGATAGTATGGACAGAACTTTAGCATAATGTATGGATGGATTCCTATAAAAGCTAAGTGGAAGAAAGAGATAGGAAGCTAAAAAACTTCATTATCAAGTGAATTGATACACTGCTTCTTGTGCTGAAACCTTGTTTCGAATCTAGCAAACATCGAATTTTAATTGGAGTCGATTTCTCTGCTCTGAGAAAAAAAATTGAAAATATAACGAGAAAAGAAAAAGGAAAAAGGAAGGAAAGAAAAAAGAAAGGAGAAAGGAGGGAAAAGGAAAATAAAAGGAGAAAGAAATGAGAAAAAGAAAAGGAAAGGAAAATGAAGAAAAATTGGGGGGGGGGGAAGAAAAAAAAGAAGGGAAGAAGAAAAGCAAAAAAGAGATACTGTAGAAAAAATTTGAATTTAAATTTAATTGGAACTAAAATTAAACCCAATAACTGGCTGTGAAGGACTGCCACTGCACCCCCTACAGCTCTATGATAATCAACATGATGATTGTGGAAACAAAGAAGAAGAGAGTTAGTCTAGATATGGGACATTGTGGCCTTGCACTGTGGGTCCTCAGAGGACTAGCCAAGATTTCTAGTTCTGAATCTTCTAATTTGGAATAATGACAAATATAAAATCAAAATGAAGAACCTAAAAATCAGCTATAAGTAGCGATCACGTTTCAAGAAAATCAATACCAAACTGGAAGAAGATTAACAAACCATTGCAAATGAAAAGGAAATTAAGCATCTTGAAAACTGACAAGTTTTAAAAAATGAATGGAGATGCTCAAGGGTATCACAATTTTGAGTTGTGAGTTATGTTTGGTTTATCTGAATTTTATTGTTATACATTGGGAAAAAATGAAACTATTTATTCTCCAATTACAAGACTGTTCAATTAAAAATTTTAGAAAGGAAAAAAAAATCAAGGTGGGGTAAAGTCTGCAGTTGTCTAATGGCTGCTAAAAATGTATAATTAGCAAATTTAAAGTCAATTTTAAAACAATTAAACACAAATCATAAAAAGGGTGCCAAGAGAACTCTATGGTCTGGGAGCCAAACACAAGATGTGGGTATCCTAACCCCCAGTGTAATTGTAAGACTCCCTTTGTGTAATATATTAATGATCATAATATAATATTTCATTCATAATGAGCTGTCGAAGTTCACTGATTAAAACAATTTATTTTGAGCTTCACAATAAACACAATACCACAAATGTTATCTATCAAAATATGTTTTTTTTTACTTGCTCAAGGGTTTAAATGAAGAGATCATTTGCAAAAGTATAGTGTTTCTATTTCATGACTTATACAATTCCAAGTCAATGATGCAATATAAAATTCAAAGAATATGATACCACTTTCTTCATTGATTGGTTTCCTAAATTTATTTTGAGCTTGACAATAAACACAATACCACAAATGTTATCTATCAAAATATGTTTTTTTTTTTTACTTTGCTCGCGGGTTTAAATGAAGAGATCATTTGCAAAAGTATAGTGTTTCTATTTCATGATTTCCACAATTCCAAGACATTGATACAATATGAAACTCAAAGAATATGATACCACTTTCTTCATTGATTGGTTTCCTATTATCACAACCTGCATTTAAAATGCAATTCAAACAGAAGCAAGAAATAGTCAGTAATTCAAAATACATAAAATTACAATGCATTTGAGCAGTTTAAGATTAAAGATGCAAAAAATGAGTTTACTCTCACTTGCCTGTACACTGCACAAAACAAACAGAAGCATGCATAATCTGTGCATTAAATCATTTAGAATATGAATGCACTGAAATCCACAGCATTTACAGTATTTGTCCAATATACAATTTCAATGTAACTGGCTTGTTTGTACATATTAAGTATATTTATTCACATTTGTATTTTAATGTTTGAAGGGGTACCTTGTTAGTGTTTGTTTATTATTTACATATTTTCTGATGTGAAGCATATACAGTAGAAGCTCTTTATGCATTATGCGCAATACAAGCGTAACATTATTATTATTATAATTATTATTATTATTATTATTACTGTTATTATTCTTATTTCTCAACTCATTCATACCTTTTGCAATAAGATACTACAACTCAAATGTCTAAATTAATGCTTATCTCTTTTAACTATATTTATTAATTGTATACCTAGGCAATATCTTTTTTTCTATATTTTAAATTTGTTACTTTTTTCAATTTTTTGTTATATTTTTGATGTTTGTATATATTATTGAATCTACACATTAAAATTGTTGCATGCAAACAGAATTTCCATTTTATTTTGACAATAAATAATACTGAATCTTGTTAAATAATAATTTCATTGTAAATTAAATGTATTATAGGCAATATCTTTTTATACATAGGCAATATCATTTTTTGGTATTTTAAATTGGTTACTTTTTCTATTTTTTTGTTATATTTTCAATGTTTGTATATATTTTTGAATCTGTATATATCAAAATTGTTACGCACACAAAATTTCTGTTTTCTTTTTGGACAATAAATACTACTGAATCTTGTTAAATAATAATTTCATTGTAAATGTATATTATATTATATTATACTGTATTTTAAACAAGAAAAAAAAATACCTGCACTAAAATAAATTTGCTATATACTTAAGTATTCATCAACACAATGGAACTCTTTTTGAAACTGTGTAACAGGATGAAATTTGATCCTACTATACTAAAAAAATATTTCGAGTATGGTGTCAAATTAAAACATTTATGGACACAGAGGGAATGGATAATGTAAATGCGAAAGTGAGGAGCAAGTCATATGATCACTACCAATCTCTGTAAGTGGAACAAATGTTCAAACAGTAAAATATTAATTAATGTCTTCATTAGAAATTTTTATGTGTTCATTGCACATAGCAGGGTTGTAGCTGAAGAAAACTGAACTAAGGGTGGGTGGAAAGACATTTTGGTGGGTGTGTGATAACACTGGTAAACTCTAAATAATAAGAGTGGATTTTAAGGATGGAAAAGTGGGTTAATAAGAGTGGATGGAGGGCCATGGAATTAGCTTTAGACTGGGTGGAAAACTTCAAAACTGGGTGGACCCATCCACCATAACTACATCCCTGCATGGTAAAAATTGCAAATAGGACCAATGGATAGTGTATCTCTTCTGGAAAGGGTATTACAATCCATTCTGCTTTCTAGCTGAAACATAAGAGCAGCATTGAAAAAACTGGGAACAAACCTCTAAGGTTCACTTTTTATTTTACTAGTTCCTACTAGTAAAATTTTTCCCAGACTTTGTTATTATGTTTTTGCCGATTTCAGCTTAAATTTTCTTATTTAGGTCTTTATTTTTACACACTTTTCAAAGATAGAAAATCATTATTGTACAGCAGTTATTACTGTATTATAGAGAATATTACATAATATAGTCACAGCTATTGCACATCATTAATTTGTTGGTTTGTTGGTTTTTCTATTAAAAAACAAATAAAAACCTCATTTGACATTTTAACTCAACCTTAATTTGTTTAAATTTTGTTCTTATTTTTTAAGCAATTTCATCCTCAATTTTCTTATATATAAAATGTGTTGCCACCAAATTAGCCAACTGAGCTTAAAGTTTCATACGTTCTAAAACTGATTGTTGTTGATTTAAAATTGATTTTCAAAATTACCTGAATGGACATATTAAAGTTTATTATAAGATATGGCCAAACACTTAATATTTTAACCAATTATATGAAGAAGCGTTCAAAGTTTGACATTTCGAACATGCATTGATTAATAGATTCGAGTTCAGAGTATGTTATAAATAACAAAAATATTAATATTATATCATCTTATAATTTCAATGCTTCTATTGGCTTTAATTTATTACCTTTTTCATTTGATCAAATCAATCAATCAATCGATCGATCAATTGATAACAGTTTTTATAACACCAGAATCCACCGCAAGCAATGTTAATGCTACAGTACAGTGAC